TGTACAAAATTCTGAGGAGGCTTGGGCTGGCTATGTGTATGCATATTGGGGAAAGCTCCGTAACGATCTTCAGGAAATCGGACACTCTATGTTCGTAGAGCTGATATATTCAATGTATGACAACAGCCACAAAAATAATACATGGTAACAAATGTAATAACAAAAATAACGATGGATAATAATAGTGATGATGAACATGATTCATTGTAATATTACTGCTATTACTAATCATAGCAATAAAAATAGGAGCTAGGAGATTAGACTCCATTCAGTGAGTGAAACAGTAATGATTTGTGGAGTCAAGGGACAGTTTAGAGTCAGAGTCTCAGGTTTGCACAATGGGAAGTGTCCAGTAGCCAAATGTGAACAGCAGGACGGGAAAAGAACACCAACCTCAAGGAGAGTGTGGTGAACATACGGATGTATGCACCACTCTGGCTGGATTATTTTCCACACTTATGCCATTTAGAGCATTTCAAGTTTGATTTCTTAGGTGTTTAGAAAGACGAATGTTATGACAGAATTATTTCCCACATTCATAAATTTATTTATAGATTTCAGTGTAAATTATCTCACATTAACAGGAGAACTTTGAACAAAGGCTTTCACACATAGATGACATTCATATTGCTTCTCTCCCATATGACTTTTCTTGTGGTATTTAAGGTTAGAGCAGTTAGTAAAGGCATTACCACATATATGGGGAATGGCTTCTCTCCATTTTGAGTTCTCTCATGTTGTCTAAGTTACGTTTTGAACAGAGGCTTTCCCATATATCTGACATTCATATAGTTTCTCTCCACTGTACATTTGCTCATGTCATTTAAAGAATAAGTCATTACATTCATTATAGGGTTTATCTCCAGTGTATGTTCTCTCAGATTGTCTAAGGTTAGAACAATAACTACTTTCCCACATTGGAGACATTCGTATTATTTCTCTGCAGTGTGTATATTCCCTGAAAGCTAATTCGTATTGATTACAATCATAGTTTCTCTCCAGTGTGGTCTCTCTACTGTCAGTAGAGGTGCAAACTCTAACTGAAATATTTCCCACATTCCTTCCATTTGTAGGTGATAGTGTTGCTTTCCAGACTGAGGTAGCACATGCCAAGTAAGTGCTGAGTTACGAGACAACTTTCCTATACATACTGCATTTAAAAGACTCCTACTCTGTGTGAAACCAATGCTATTGATGAAAAAAAAAAAAAGACTTTTAAAAGTTTGACTCCGTACATTTTTTCACTCATTTCTCTGCATTTGTTCTTTGTGTTGATTATTCAGTGTGACCCTCCAGTTAAAATCTTCCCAGTCTTGGTTTCAAGATTCACTGATTCATGTGGCATATTACTCTCATTTAGAACATAGGATTTCTGTTTATACTTTCTGGCATCTCAACTGTGGGATTTCAGCTGTAATTTTGAAGTCTTCATCATGTCTCACACGCTTGTTAAATAAGCCCACATTTATGTATTTTTTCATTTTAAGATATTAGATTACAGATATTTAAAGAAAACTTCGAATTAAAAACAGGCAAACTTTTATGCTGAGACAGAGTTCTGTCGAATGTTGCATTCACATGATTGTCCTACCTTTGTAACTTTTCCCACATGCAGACTTCTAATACGGAGGGCTCTCATGAAGCTCGCTGCTCATGTGCACTTTAGAGGGGTGATTCCTATAGACACCCTTGCATGGAAATTATCTTGTCTTCTAAGTCTGCATTTACTAACTGAAAAAAATGGGAGGATAAAGCTGTTACAGTGTACGTTGAGAAATAATGAAAATGTTTTAAGAGTGCACTAAGCACGTGTAAATATGTCTTAATATTGACCTTAAGAGAAAGAATGCAAAATGGAAATTTATTAGTGAGCAGGATGACATTTTAGGAGATTACAAAGTAATACACATTTTCAGGACGTGAATAAGAGAAAAAATAAGGATGGAAAGATTATGATGTGGAGGTCAAATAATGTCAGTCAGAAAGACGGGAACTAGAAAAGGGTACTCTGCGAAAGTATAGCTCCAAGGAAAATACGAAAATTCTTTGGAGGAGAAGCAAGTTCTGAGGAAAGTACAGATTGATAGATGAATAGATACTGATATATAGCAGTAACTCTGGCATTATCTCACTCTGCTTTTCAGAAATAGTCCAGAAAATCTGAAGTTAATGTTACCAAGTCCTGCTCCTTCACTGAACAAACAGGGTTTTCCTTGGGCTGATCCACACGTGTCTGGGGAATCCTTTTCCTTCACTCGACTTCTCCTTTCCTTGTTCCAGTTGGGAAATCTCATGTGATTGGCAGAGTTGATATTCTGAGTGTGGATTAAAAAGGTACATGATTTTTTACTTCTCTCCTAAGAACAAAGCATGATGCTTAAGATCGGGGTAGGTTGCCAAGGTGGGGAAATGTGAACTTTGTTTTTTTTTTTTTTGAGACAGATTCTTGCTCTGTTGTCCAGGCTAGAGTGCCGTGGCATCAGCCTAGCTCACAGCAGCCTCAAACTTCTGGGCTCAAGCAATCCTCCTGCCTCAGCCTTCCAAGTGGCTGGGACTACAGGTGTGAGCCACCTCACCTAGCCTGGAAATGTGAACTTTGAAAGGAATTATGGCATAAGGAGAGAGGAGCACTGTGAACACTGAGAATGCTGAAGGTCCCTCTGCAGATCAGTAAAACTATCTGGCCTTGCCCCAAGGGCACTATGGCCTCTGGTTGCTGTTGCCAACAGCCAAACTCAAAGACAGATGAAGAATCTAAGGGATTCAATCAGTGAAGAATTCATATTTCCTCAATGAGTTGAAACTAATTAGACATAAGATCCACCAGAAAACTGTCAATTGGGGAAAAACGACAATGTGTCCTCTCCTGATTTTAAAAGTGCGATGGCCTCGGCCAGTGCTACTTGTGAGGTAGATGTGAATACTTCCAAACTGCATATAAGTAAACTGAAATCATTGCATTTTGTATGTTTATTAACCCATGGCACTGAAAAAGTTCTTCAGTTCCCCTGACCCCAAACTCTGGGACTCCCTGACTCACATCACATGTGAATTGTGTTCGCCTTCATCGAAACCTCTATGGAATTACAGTTATTCTTGGCTTATTCACTAGCATTGGTTTTCCAGCCCCATATGAAACTTCATTCCCTTCCCAATCCACCCTGCCCATCTCTGGGATACAGCTGTCCTCAAACACCTTGGCATCAGCACATGGGGTTTCAAGCAATACAATTTCCTTAACTCTGACTTTAGTCTGTCCCCGTGTTATTAGCTATCAACCACACAACTTAAGAATTTGTTTTATAATAAGGTGGATCAATTAAATAACTTATTCCATGTTGGAAGGATAAGTGGTCCCCGGCCTCTAAATCTAGTCCTTAAAATCTCTCAGACCAGAAAGTAGCAGCAATACATAGACCAAAAAGTTTTGCATGCCCTCTCAGAATCACAATCATTGCTGTTATCTCTACAGTGAGTAATATGATCATCCCTCATTTCTACCCCGGCCACATATATAACTTCTCCCTGCAGACTTCCGTCAGCATCAGTGTAAATGTTCTTCATAGAACTCTTTGGTGATCCCCAATACATGTTAGCCTCCCCTTCCCTTCCTTTTTCCCTTAATTATAACTCTACAGTCTCTCTCTTTTTTTTTTTTTTTTTTGAGACAGAGTCTCACTCTTTTGCCCGGGCTAGAGTGAGTGCCGTGGCGTCAGCCTAGCTCACAGCAACCTCAAACTCCTCGGCTCAAGCGATCCGCCTGCCTCAGCCTCCCGAGTAGCTGGGACTACAGGCATGTGCCACCATGCCCGGCTAATTTTTTCTATATATTTTTAGTTGTCCGATTAATTTCTTTCTATTTTTAGTAGAGACGGGGTCTTGCTCTTGCTCAGGCTGGTCTCGAACTCCTGAGCTCAAACAATCTGCCCGCCTCGGCCTCCCAGAGTGCTAGGATTACAGGCGTGAGCCACCGCTCCCGGCCTCTACAATCTCTTGATGTCATCCCTGTAATTTATCATTATAAATGTGTTTTTTTGTTTGTTTTTGTCTATTTTCCTCACTGGTCTAATTGCAAAAAAATTGACCCCTGAGTGCTATGATGAGGCAAGTTTCTCTTTAACCATTAGTGTTGAATTATAAATCCAGAGAGACTGCATGTTTGCAGTAAACTAATCGGAGATGGCCTGTCCCCAAATCTCATAAGTCAAATAATTATCTTCCGATCTACAATTAATTTATAGTTAGTATCCTTTATTTCAACTTGAAGAACTACCTTCAGCATTTCTTGTAAGATCGGTCACTGAATTGATTAACCCCATCATAGAATGGAATCTGAAGTTGCTTGGTTGATAAACAAATTCTTGCAGAACTAATCTATAAGTCAGGGTTGAGGGAGTGATATTGCTGGAAACCCCATGTGAAGGAGACAGAATGATTCAGAAAAAGTGTATCCAGAGGGCCAGGGACAGGGAAGAGGAGGGATGGAGTGAGGCTCCAGAGGGCTGGGATGGATGCTGAAGAAAGACTGCAAGTGCACAAACGAGGAATAATTCTCAAATTCTACAGTGTTTCCTGGAGGTGGAGACCACAGTTCACGTGTGGCATGTGGCAGAAGAGCACCATGAACACATTCTGTTATAGCCAGTGACATGGGGATGGACTGAAGTCCAAGTTAATCCAGTCCTTGTGATTTGGAATCATGGAAGGAATTTAAAACTTCATGATTCCATGGGCTTATTAAGACTCATATAAAGCTCAATGATTTTCACATTCTTATCTCTGAAATCAAGGTATTTATATCTTCTTTATTAGCAATAATAATCATAGTCTTCTAACCCTGGAAGAAAGAGGAGAGGCTGCCCCTGTTTCTCTTAGAGCATGCTGCATGTCCCTGTTGGTTAGACTGGGCTGCTTTTAAGTGACAAATTGGGGTTTCGGGACACGTAGGTCTGGAGACTGCACAAAACAGGACTGTCATTGGTTTCTTTCATCTTCCTCAGATTTTCCTCGTGAATACTTGGACTGTGTGAGTGAAAACCCAGGGGAAGATACTTGTTGGCTGAGCTAGTACAATGCAGTCACGGGTGAGTGGGGAATCCATCTTTCTACTGAAATTGTACCCCTGTTGCCAGCCTATAGGCAGGTTTCTCCTATTAGCATGGATGTTCTAAGTGCACTCAGAGCGATTCAAGGATCTAAACTCCACTTAAGATTCCTCAGGTCTCTGGAATCATCATACTGGCTCAAAGGCACATCAAGAAGTAATCTCCTTCAACATTACACTAAGGCGTTCCAGACTCTGTTAAGGCTGTATATTACAGAAGAGATGGGAGAGGTTTTGTTTCTCTCATCCAGCCTAAGGCCTTATTGGGGAAAGAATTCACTCATTAACCATGTTATTGGCAGGAATGGGCTTAGGACTGTGGTGAATGCCGCGATGAAGATGAATGAGAGCAGAAGGTTACAGTCCACAGAGAGGCAGATGTTTTCCTAGGTGAGCCTAGTCAATCCAGTTGTCAGGTGCTGGAGGAGGGCTCTATAGCATTGAAGTGAAAGCAGATAGGTTTAGGCCAGAGAAGACAATGAGGAATCATTCATTTATATTGCCTATTTTAAAAATCTTTAAAGGTTGGATAGAATATATTTGTACTTTTTGGAAAACTTCTAAAAAAAGAAAACTATAATTTTTGCTATTACTTTTGTCCCCAAATTAGCCTTTGTTCAAATTTAATAACTGGAAGCAATGTATAGGGAGTATTGTTTCCTTCATTTTGGCTGTGCATGTAGGTGAAGGAGTATAGGAAATGGAGTAAATTTATAGACCTGGGGAAATTTTTGAAGTGGAGAGACCAGACAACAAAGGCTTTTTTTTTTTTTTTTTTACCCCTGAACATAGAGACAAGATGAAGAAACAAAAGAGAGGATGCTAGCTGGTGTTTGTTGGTCACAGAAGAAATTGAGAAAGGAGTCCTGAGACCATGGGAAGGGTTAGGATGAGACTGTCCTTCAGTACAGAGGTCTTAGAGCTCCTGGCTTGTGCTGCTGAACCATTTATCCTTATCTGTGAACACCAGAGTTGTGTAGAGATGAGAGGCTGCATCTACTGATCCTACCTTCTGTGTAAAAGTTTTACATTCTGCAGAATCCTTCAGTGTTGTTAGTCATTTAATGAATAACATACCTGTAACTTGTATCTAAAAAACGTTTGACACATGGGAAGCACTTTACACATTAGCTCATTGGATCTTTCAGAACTCATAACAGGTCTTTATTCACTGATGAGGAAATTGAGGTCCAGTAGGGGACTATCTAACTGTAGTCATGATTAAAATGTGACAAATCGTGGATACTGCTTGCCTTGTGATGAGTCTATAGATTTTGTTGAAGTTGATGGTGAGGAGAATTTTAGTTATAAGTTTCCAGGTGCAAATTTTATGATTAGTGTCTGGAAGTTATAATTACAAGTTTATTAGGAAATCTCTAGGTTATATTATGTCATACTTCATGTGATATTTCTTTATATGAAATTTTATGTGTGAACATATCTGAAAGCCAGATTCCCAGGTCACACTGAGAACCATGTGACTGGAACCCCAAATACTATTTGCGCTTTCTATTCATACCACCCCCCACTTCGTCAGTACCGTTACTTCGACCGTGCTCCACTCAACATTGGCAGAGGTGGCCCTTTTTGGAGCAGAGTGTTCATAATGTTTTAGGGATCCATGACCTTCGAGGATGTGGTTGTAGACTTCACACAGGAAGAGTGGACCTTGCTGGACATATCCCAGAGGAAGCTGTATAGAGACGTGATGCTAGAGAACATTAGTCATCTGGTCTCTATTGGTGAGTCTCTTAATGTTTATGATGTATGTCTGTTTACATTCATTCATTCATTCTTTCATTGATTAATTCATTCCGCAAGTATCGAGAACAGTTTTCCCACCTATCACTTCAACCTCTGCTTTTATCCCTTCATAACTCTCATGACCTGCCAGCAATTTGTTTCTTTACTTTTCACTTATTTTAATTTATCATCTCAACTAGAATGTAATCTTTTTGACCACAATTTCATGTTCTTACTGTTCAATCCCAAAAACTCAGAACAGTGGTGGCAATTCACTGTCTTTGAATGGATAAATAAATGTATTTATTTTTTAAAAATAACTATTCTGTTGTAGAGACTATTTCACACAGAACCTGGATTGTTCTGATAGAGCTTATGTTTACTGGATTCTTTTTGGATATAATACTCAAATGCCACGAAAACTTGTAATTTCCTACTGATTGAAAATACTGAGCACCCTGCAACCTGTCTTTGAACTTAGTCATGGCCGTTAGCAATTATAGGTCTTCCACGTCTTTGGGAGCAAGTTCAAGAGCTACCCTTTTGCTCGTGAAGGACTGTAAATGTCTTCAAGGTACTCTTCCTGGGCTGACCTTCAATGGCTACCTTAGTCTTCCTCAGTATTATGCCCTGTGTTTAATCACCATACACGGTTATCAGCATAGAACTCAAAATCCATGCATCTTTTCCCCACAAACAGGCAAACAGTTCTGCACATCAGGTGTGCTTTCCCGTTTGGAGCCAGAAGGGGAACTTTCAAGAGAAGGAATAAATGTTCTGCAAGGCCAGAATCCAGGTGAGCTCCAAGAAGCAGTGCTTCAATAGAAGGAAGAGGAGCATGGTCAGTGAGTGAGTAGGCCCTAAGAGTTATCAAGTAAAGATTTCTTAAATTAGTGATATTTTCTGAAATGAAAGCAAAGGCATAAGGGAAAAATTCATGAGATATTGTTATAATGCATTGCAGGCATCAGTTTCTATTCAGGTGTCTCTCTGTCGTTGTCTTTGGCTTTAGTAAAGGGGATGTCTGTGTACTTATTGGAGTTAAGCTTTTACATAATGACCCTTGTCGTGGTCCTCTTCTTTGAAAATTTTCCTTTCTGCCCCAACTTACCATCTTTATTTTTTTCATATCCTGAAAATGTCAGTTGTCAATGTCCTATACTTTACTCTCTAGAGTATCCTTAATTTAACATTCTTTGCCTGTGTGTCAGTATTTGAAATACACTCAGATGGGCTTGGGAGCTGTTTAACATATTCATTCCCCTAAATGCCAATCTGGCAATTGTTTTTTTCAGTTATTTCAGGTAGAGAAGGTGACTTTAAACAAGAAATGACATCGATACAACATATCTATCAGAAGGACATATCCACCATCAGCACAATGGTAAGCTTTATTGGTGTGAATCTGTTCTTAAAAATAGAAACCTAGAAATGGAATAAGTTTGGAATTTGGTATAGTTTACTGTACCTAAATTTGGGATCAAGGGCTGTCTCAGCAGAAGGTTTTGGTTCCTTTGAATTTAGGGAAGAAATTAACTTGATATAAAACCATAACATGAGGTCTTATAACAGGAAAATTATATAAACATGACTATATGCCTATACTTTGAAATGTAATAAAGTCTTAAAAATCTGTCTGGCTCTTCAGCTGGGATGCTACAAAAGAGAAAATCTCTATGCATGCAGTTAGGTAATATGCCATATTTATGTAACTAATACAAAAACAATTTTAACTGGAGTCTACTACTAAATGATTACTCTAGAATTAACATGTAGAGAAATCAAGGAAGGAAGGAAAGAATGTGGACAATCCTCTAATATCTTTCATTTCCTTCCCAAAAGCAGAGACTTCATACTCAAGATGATCCTTTGGAATGTAATAATTTGAGAGAAGATTTCATTGATCATATAGCATTAACTCAAAATATGATAAGTCACATGGGAAAGAAACACTGTGTAAGCAAAAAATTTGGGAAATCCTTCAGTGACTGGTTATCTTTTAATCAATATAAGGAAATTGACACTAGATGTAAATCGTATGAAAGTCATCTGTGTGGTTATGCCTTTAATCAGAGCTCTTCCCTTAGACAACACAGTAAGACTCACACTGGAGAGATAACATTTGAATGTGATGTGTGTGGTAAAACCTTCAGTAAAAGTTCTAATCTTAGACGACATGAGATGATTCACACTGGAGAGAAACCACATGGATGTCACCTGTGTGGAAAAGCCTTTACTCATTGCTCTGACCTTAGAAAACATGAGAGAACACACACTGGAGAGAAACCATATGGATGTCATCTATGTGGGAAAGCCTTTAGTAAAAGTTCTAACCTTAGGCGACATGAGATAATTCATACTAGAGAGAAAGCACATGGATGTCATCTGTGTGGGAAAGCCTTCACTCATTGCTCTGATCTTAGAAAACATGAGAGAACTCACTTTGGAGAGAAACCCTATGGATGTCATCTATGTGGGAAGGCCTTCAGTAAAGGTTCTTACCTTAGACAACATGAGAGAACTCACAATGGGGAAAAGCCATATGAATGTCATCTGTGTGGAAAAGCCTTCTCTCACTGTTCTCACCTTAGACAACATGAGAGAACTCACAATGGAGAGAAACCACATGGATGTCATCTATGTGGGAAAGCCTTCACTGAATCTTCTGTGCTTAAACGACATGAAAGAACTCACACAGGAGAGAAACCTTATGAATGTCATGTATGTGGGAAAGCGTTCACTGAATCTTCTGACCTTAGACGACACGAGAGAACTCACACTGGAGAGAAACCATATGAATGCCATTTATGTGGAAAAGCCTTCAATCACTCTTCTGTCCTTAGACGACACGAAAGAACACACACTGGAGAGAAACCGTATGAATGCAATATATGTGGTAAAGCCTTCAATAGAAGTTATAACTTTAGACTTCATAAGAGGGTTCACACTGGAGAGAAGCCATATGTGTGTCCTATATGTGGGAAAGCTTTTAGTAAATGTTTTAACCTTAGACAACATGAGAGAACTCACACTAAAAATGTAATAAAAGTGTAAGATTCATCAGTCGTAGCTTCAACCCCTAAATACACCAAAGGACTAACACATTGAAGAAACATTATAATCAGCGTGGAAAAACTTTTATTTATCATTACTTCACTCAACCTAAATTAACTCAAAATGGTGAGAATCCATATGTATTTTGTCTATATGGCACAAACTTTAGACACTGGACTGCCCATATATATCCTAGGTGGATGAGGCCTCTTGAACAAGTCGGATATTCATAGCGGAGAAGTTACCCCATGAAAAATCATGAGAAATTTTTTTATTAATAGAGCAACACTTGTAGGATAGGTCAGGATGCACATGATATAAAACACTCTAAATGTCATGAGTGAGGGAAAGTCATCAGTTAGTTACTCATTCCTTAGTCAATACCAATGTTTTTCCACTGAGGAGAAAACAATCTTTACAGGAAAATGGAAAAAGCCTCAGACAGATTTCATGTCTGAAAAGTCAGGCTGGGAAGAAAATTCTAAAAAGCCATTGAGCATACACTTGAGCAAAAAATTCAGAATTTTGGACAGACTTGTTATTGAAAATATGTAGGATAAAATGTGCAATTCTGAAGTGATCTGGGAATATCGAATGCAGAGCTGTCTACGAAATAAAAAGAAATGAGATAAATTTGATTAATAACTGGCAAAAATTCAAGTAGTAAGTGTTGTTGCTAAATAATATTTTGGTCAAACTCTAGGCTTTTTATTAAGTTTTAAACACATACATTTGTGTCAATGGAACTAATACATGTAGAGCACAAAATCATATGTCCTAACTTTAGTATTAGTGGTATATATGTACATGGCAATGATGAAATCAAACATGGATTATTAAATACTAACTTTATAAGTAAATCTCATGGTACATGAATTTGCCTCCTTCATTTTTAAACCAGGTTATTGAAGTGTAATTGACACACACGGCTGTGCAGATTTAGCGTGTACAACGTAAGGAGTTTAGAGGTAAGTGTACAGCCATGAAGCCATCACTACTATCTATGCCACAAACATATTCATCCCCTTCAAAAGTTTCCTCCTGCCTTATTTTATCATTATTTTTTTCTCAATCCTTAGCAAATTTTTAAGTATGTAATACAGTACTAATGACTATAGGCACTATGTTGTAAAATTTAATATTGTAAAAAAATTAAAAGTAATTGGCAATGAATCTATTTAAATAAAAATTGACAATCTTGGATAATTGTCATTGAGTTATTATATAAGCTATTATATTAGCATAAATATTTCCCAGAATCCAAAATCAGGCAGAGTGTCATTACATATAATAGATTTTTGTTGTCATGGACTTTTTTCAATAAGAACAAATGAGGACATAGAAGATAGGATACATTTGGATTATCACATTTCCAGAATACCTGTATATTTACACTAATTTATGTGATGAAGAAGCACTGTTTGGAAGCATAGAAAGAAACCATGACAATTTGATTTTCCCCGTATATCCCAGTGACGACAACCATGAATCTACATATCACTAGCTGGAAATGAGTCTCTTGTGTCCAAGCCCCTTCCATCCACACATGCAGAGTCTGGGAGAGATAAAGTTGTGGAGGTTCTCTACCAGGATAACAAGAGAAGGCTTGATCCTTGGTACAAATTTGGAAATTATTAATATGCCTGTTTCACACATGGAAAAACAACGTTGTTGCTCATAATTTAGCCCATGTTTTTATGAGGGATATGCAATGATCTCAACTATTTCTGTGACTTTGTGTATTTTATATTGATGTGTCTTCAAGTTTGCTAATGTTCTTTTTTGTGTGTAAAGTCTGTTACATGTCCCCATTAACTTCACCCACAGACCAGTCTGCCAAACCCAGCAGTACTGCACTATTTTATGTTTCTTATGACTTTCTCTGTTTGATGTTACATACTTATAATTATTATAAATTACTTTTCTCGAAACACCAGTTTAAAAACGTGATTTTGTCTTGGGTCTTTTATTTTTCCATCTCATTCCCTGCTGTTTTGTGTCAATAAGACTTTTTATTGTATGTTAGACACTATCGAAAATAGGAAAGAGACTGAAGTTGAAGTTTTACCCAGAGAGGCTGATTATTCTTTCTTTGGCAGACAGTGAGCATATATCACTGTCTTTGACTCAGGAATTGAAATACACTCTGGCTGTGTTGCAGAGTTGATTACGATCAGTGTAACCCTCATGCCTTATGTTCATTCCATAGAGGGAACAGAGTTGTTAAACCTTTTCAGTGTGACATTCCCTGGGGCACACCCGGATTACACAGATAAATCTATCAGAGCTTCCTTCTGTGGGATGCATGTGAGCATGTTGAGGGACAGCCAGCCCTCTCAGAGACAGGGCAGTGAGGATCCTCTTGCCGTAGATTCTCTGCAGTGCTGCCAGGAACAAGCCAAATTCACAAAATGGTGAGACCTTTGGTAAAAGCCCAGAGCTTAGTTACTAAGACTTATATAAGTGCAGAATCAAGAAGCATGATCATTTTTCTTAATTGCATCTATGTGATTCACCTAAAGAGGTTTACCTTGATTGGGTTAATCCTGACTGGCATCCCAGTCAGGGATACTCAGGGTGGGTCCTTTGGATTATATGGTTGAGGAGATTATACAATTGATGAGCTTTTCCACTGCGTAAAAACGGAGCTCACCATCCAAGTGGCACTTTCACAGAAGAGGGGAAGGAGCTCTGAGATCCAGAGTGTGGTGACAGCAACCTCCATAAAGACTTGGCTTCGTTAGATTTTTCCATCTGTTTGGTTTCTGGTGAGTACTGGAGAGATTTCTACCAGAATGGAGAGACCTCTTTTTTTTTCTTTTCTTTTTTTATTTTATTTTATTTTTTTTGGTTGAGATGGGGTTTTGATATGTTGTCCAGGCTAGTCTCGAATTCCTGGGCTCAAGCCATCCTCCCATCTCAGCCTCCTGAGTAGCTGGGGATTACAGATGTGAGCCAGGGCAGACGACACCCCCATGTAAGCACAGCAAAGGCTCCTGCCCCTCTGAGGTTAAGGTCCCCATACTATGAATCGCACAGAGTACATTTACTGACACACGGGCATCACAGTTCAGTGTCTAATGATAGATGTCTACGGTGTCATGTTAATCTTTGAAAGGCTAAGACACTGGACTGTGCGATGGGCTGAATTGTGCCCCCTCCCCAGATTATTATGTTGAAGCCCTAACCCCTAACATGGCTGTGTTTAGAGATGGAGTCTTTAAACATGGGATTAAGGTTCAATGAGGTCGTGAGGGAGGGTCCACATCCAATAGGAAAGGAAGGGACACCAGGCAGGTGTGCAGAGGACAACCCCGTGAAGTTGCAGGGAGGAGGTGACCATCTGCGGCCGCGGAAATGAAGCCCAGACAGACAGAAGAGTCGAAAATGGAGACAGACAAATTTCCATGTGGTGTCGAGCACCTAGATCCAGCCATGCCCACTGCTCATGCCTGGACTTTGGTCACTTACCCTAAGCCATTCTGAACTGGGCTTCCGTCCCTCACATACGAATTTCCTGGTTACGGACCATGAATCTCTGTATCCGAGGCAAACCTGTGCAATAGTCAGGTAGCAACGGTAGATGGTCCAGGGAGGAGAAAGAAGAGTTCCTGCTGAAGCACCATCTTTGAACGCAGGTAAGCAGTAACATGCAGCCACGGTAAGGGCATTCCAGGCAAAGGAGCTGACCACCACCCTCTGCTACAGCGGAAGGAATCGCCAGATGGCAGAAAACATCTGTATGCCTTTGCCTTCACAACCTCCAGCCTCCACCCAGTGTGACAATGGCAGTGGCGATGAAGAGGGGATGTGGAGGGATCCCTGGGCCTCTGCTTCTCCTGAGCTGAGCACGTGCAGAAAGGTGTAGGATCTGGAGGAGCAGCTATTTCCATGACAGCCTGTTCATCTTTCATTGCCAGATTACACTGTTGCTAATAGCGGGCTGAAATTCAATCTGTTTTCAGTGTGCTGAAGTTTGAACCCAGCTGGTGCCATTCAGTGAAGCTGGGCATATATCACCTGTCTATCATCTATTTATGCACCTATCCATCCACCATCCATCTGCCACATCTATCAATCGTCTGCCTTCCCACACACATATGCATATAATTGCATGTGCGTCTGTACCTGCAGCTGTAGCTGTAGCCGTCTGTATCTGTACCTAGGACGGGCAATCTCTCATCTTCAGTGTCTCCTCCCTGGTCGGTCAGACCTGTGAGGCCCGGGATGCCCAGTGGTCTCAGAGCACATCTGATGCTTCTGCTGCCCGATTCTCTCCACATGTTGCTGTAAAATGACAGGAAAAAAACAGCTATTTGCTCTAATGACTTCTCCTCGTCAAAATGAGAGATTACTTTACAATCGAAGCAGCCAGGGCTGAAACCCTGGATGGAAATAATTGCATTGAGTGCTGTGGAGAGATTAGAAACTCTGCTAGAGGCCAAGAAAAAAATCACCTCAAAAAGTCCGAATTCAAGAGTGTCTGAAGAACGCAGCCACGAAAATGAGCCTCTTTACCCTGAGACGTGGGCATCTTGGTCTTTTGCATCCTCTGCAGGTCGCGGCTCCATCCCCTCCAGACAGACCATGGAGGCAGTGCCCACGGAGGGCAGGGGACGTCTAAGGCCACGAGCAAAGCAACAGGGACCGCCGGGCACCAGCGCCAGGGAGGGAAGGCAGAAATATGGCTGGGGGGGGTGCAAAATCCGTGCTTCGTGTCCCCCACAGGTGCCAAGAAGGACAGGACTCTGGCCCCCGGGTGCTGGGCAGAGTCGGACGGGGCCGCGCAGGCCCCCGGCTGCACTGGCTCTAGCAGGTGCAGTGAGGGCGATGCCCACACCCAGACGAGAGCAGCAGAGGGAGGGCGCAGGACGTGGATGGGCCTGGGCCCTGACGCAAGTCCCACGCCCAGCCTCCCGCTCCATCCTGCGCCTCCTGTTGCACGGGGTCTCCTGAGCCAGGTCAGCAGCCTTGGGAACCTCCAGGTGACGTGCCTTCCCAGCCGCTGCCCGGCAGAGCCACAGGTGCCCGACCCGCCGGCCCTGGGCCCCAACACCGTCCGCCCCTCATGCGGGCCTGTTGCGCTGCGAGGGCCTCCCTGAAACTGTCACCACTTTCGCTCCCCTCAGCCTCGCACAGCTTTGCACGTAGTGGAAACCAAATAGATTTCTTAAATAAATTGGTGTTT